TTACCTCTACACCAACTGCTTTGAAATCACCCTGGAGCTGAGCTGCAACAAGTTTCCCCCCGAGGAGGACCTGGAGCGGCAGTGGATGGCCAACCGAGAGGCCCTTGTTGCTTTCATTGAAGAGGTAAGGGGGCAGTCCTGAGACCTTCACCTTTCCTGCAGGTCCCTGTGGGCCCTGGTGATAGGGGACCAGTAGGCACTAGGAGTGGATGCAATACCTTCTTGAGCAAAGGAGGGCCCTTGACCCATCAGTCTGTGTCCCTCCCTGCAGGTTCACCAGGGCATCAAAGGGCTGGTGTCAGACGAGAACAACAACGGCATTGCAGGAGCAGTGATTTCCGTCCAGGGAATCAGCCATGACATCACCTCTGGTGGGTTGCTGGTCCCCTTGTGTTCTGTCTTTTTTAAATATAGCCTCTTGGAGGCTATCAGGATATGTGGGTGGAGGTTAGCAAGTGAGGCTATGTGTGGCCAGCATGGTTTGTTTCCCAAAGACACTAGCTGTGAGAAACATGCCTGTGCATCCTTGACCAGAGAGGGCTTAGGAAAGCCTAGGGAAGACAGAGGCAAGAACTGGAATGCAAACCTTATGGTAAAGGACTTCAGAAACTCAGCTCCTATTTTATCTGAGAGAGATGATTGAGAGGATAATCTACTCAAGCATCTAACTATATACAAAGAGCTGAAACAATGGATAGGAAATATTATGACAGCAGAATAAGATAAAAGACTGAAAGTTCAAGCCTGACAAGTTTAGACTGAGAATGAAGTGCCACTGTATCTTATCCAAGTTGTGGTTGTTTCTCCTTTGCTGTCCAATTTTAACCTTCTTTTCACGAACACCCTCCTCCAAGCAGACCAAACATTACAGACTGGCTGCAGAAAATAGCCGATATTACAGCTCTTCAGAGGTCAGACTACAAAATAATCAAAACTCCTCCTGGCCATAGATCTGTGACTCAGTAACACTCTAATATTTGGCACTTATGCCAACCTGCATAGGAAAGGGGAGTGTGGAAGAAATCACAGAAGAGCTGGCTGCCAAGGGCCCTCTGGGGTCTCCTGTCCAGCCACCTTCTTGGAGCAGTATTGTCCCCAGCATTGGCTCTGATTAGCCATTGCTCCCTCTGGCCAATTCTCACTGACACCAAGGAACAGCCTTTCTGCTGTTCTGTGCCAGGGCTGTACCATCTTCACAGTGAAGCTGTGCTTCCTGATCCACTCTGAGGCAATTTGCAATACCCATCTAGTTCCATAAATGGGATTATACTCCATTTGTCAAAGTGATCCGTAATGTGGTGCTACCTCACTGTTGGTTGTCTCCTGTCCCTGTTCTTGCCTCTTTCTTCCCTAGGCTTTCCTAAGCCCTCTCTGGTCAAGGATGCACAGGCATGTTTCTCACAGCTAGTGTCTTTGGGAAGCAAACCATGCTGGCCACACATAGTATACCGGTACATGGTCCGTCAAAGTGCTCCTGGGGCTTTCTTATGGAGGCAGAATCAGGGAGCAGCTGAGCTGATGAGCAGCTAAAACCCTGCTAACCCAAATGTGGCAAAACTGTGTGTGACAGGGATTAGAGATTGTGTTATGCACAAGGAGTCAGACTGGAGCTGTGATTGCCCTTAGGTCTGCTGTCATCTGACTGGTGAGCGCTCAGATTTACAGGCTCCCTACACAGACACAGCCAATGCTGCTGTACAGTCCCCTTTCACTTGGCATTTACCTGCAGACTGACCTGTCCTCCTTGGCACTAAGGAGACATCACTTGCAGTGTACCAAAGTGAATCCAGCCTTGCAGTAGCCAGCAGATTAGGAAAAAAAATTCTGGGTTTTGAAGGCTACACAGCCTAGAGGAAGTACCTCGGCAAGAACAACTGGAATGTCTTTTGCTTTGCTCCCTGAACATCCTGAGTGCTTTCTCTTCCTGCCTTGTGTTCCAGGTGATATGGGGGATTATTTCCGGCTGCTGCTGCCTGGCACTTACACTGTCACAGCCTCTGCAGAGGGGTACCATCCCCAGACGGTGACAACAACAGTGGGCCCAGCTGCACCTTCATTGGTGAGTCAGGCTGCATAGTCACAAGGGTTTCTCAAAATATCTTCACCCCAGGGAGAAAGAAATGCAGTAGGGGATGTTTAGTGAGCAGTAGAGAAAGGAGATGGGATGTCAAGCATTACCTGTGGCTATAGGCTGGCTGCTTTGGCAGACACAGGGCTCCTTGCAGCTCACAGAGGGAATCAAGGTGCAGACAATGCCATGTGCCTTTCAGTTCCTTACTGAGGGCTCACAGCTGCCCTGGGCTGCCATGCCAGCTTCTGTGTCCCTCTGCCACTTGGCCATAGGGAGAGCCCCTGGCTGGCTCGGACTGCTGGTCTTTAGCTCTCACTCCATTCTCTGCACTCTCCAGGATGAGATGATGTGGAGATAGCACATGTTCCCTGAGGTTTAGTTATCCCTCTAGCTTTGTGGGTTTCAGCACTCTGATATCATCTGCATTCTGCCTGGGACCAAACACATTATCAAACTCATAGCAAGGGGCTGAAGTCTGCCTTTCTTTCTGCTGAGAGCACCAAGGTAGATGGAAACTGGGTGCCAACAAAGAACAGCCAAGCACCTTTGGGAGATGAAGTGCTCTTGACACTGCTGTGTCTTCTACAGTACCTTTCTGAGGGCAGGCTGGACAACTAGAAACTGGTTATAAAAACAGTGTATGGTGATCCCTGCCCCTGCTGTTGCCTTGTGAACATGGTGGAACCACAGATGCAGCCTCCTCTAAGGACCATCACGAACCCAACCCCCCCGTGGCATCCTGGCATATCATTTGCTTCGCTGCATGTACACTGGTCAGGCTCTGCTGTAAATACTCTGTGGTTGTTCTCCCACTGTCCATCTCTTCATCCCGCTCTGTGCAACCTCTGAAGTTCTTCCAGAACTGCCCTTTTCTCAGGATTAGAAACCATCTAATTTTCGTCCTAAATTTATTTATGGTCAGTTTATCCCTATTTGTTCTTGTGCCAATGTTGTGCTTTAAATAGCTACTCTTCTTCTCTGGTATTTATTCCCTGGTGTATTTATAGAGACCTGTCAAGCCCAATCCTAGCCTTTGTTTTGCTAGGTTAAGCACCCAGCTCTCTGGCTCTCCTTTTTAAAATAGATTTTCTTTTTACTGTGTTACTGTAGAAGACTGATTTGTTCCCTGATGATCTGATTTTTGGAGATCTCCTCTCAGCAGCCCTTCTGTCCCCATTTCTGCAGTACCTCCCATACCCGCTGTTCACTCCATCCCTCCCCAAGGAAGCCCATACAGCCTGATTCCAGTTTCACCTTTCTGTATGGCCTCCCCATTCCCCATTTATCTGTTGCTGTGTTTTGCATGCTTGTTGTCCTCTTCTCCCTCTTGTACCTGCTTGCATGGCTGTAGTGGATGAGGGTTTCTTTCCTGAAATTTTTTTTGCCTGCATCTATTGAAAGCACTGTATAAGAAATGTCGCTCGTTTGTACAACATTTTCCACAATAAAAAAAAAAAAGCTTTCAGCTGCTTCAAGAACTGAGTTCCCTTAACACTGCCTGAGGCCCCTTATTGTTTGTCTTGGCCCCAGAGTCAGGTAGAAGCATGTCCTGCAGACCTCTGAGCCAGCAGCACACATGCACCGCTGTTACAGAGTGTAAGGTGATAGATAAGGCCACATAAAAGAGGAAGAAAACCCTCCTGATGGTTTCCTGGAAAAAAACCCCTCACCTGGGGAGATATTCCCAGAAACTGATAAAAGGATTAAAATGAAGAAAGGAGTGATATGGAGATAACACAGCCTTTTTTTGTGAACAACCTGGCTGCCATCCTGGCTGACTGGAACTCAGCAAGTGGATCCTTAGGTCTGTTTCATCTGTCGATCACCCCAAAATTAGTTTATTAATTATAGCCACTCAAAAACTGCCTAAAGAAAAAGGTATAAAAAGAGATTTGACATAAGCAAAAATTGGAGAGAAGTTCCATCAACGCTGCGGAGGTAACCAATGGGCTACCTTTTCAGCCTCCACCTTCTCAGGACACCTTGGGGTGAGCAATTGCTTTATACACATACACTAATTTTACTTTTGCTCTATAGTACTTTAAAATCTTTACTTATTCTTTGTTAGTTCTTTTGCTTTAGGGCGGGTGCTTAGGTTTTGCGGTATTAATATTCTTTGTAAGCTGCTTTTGCTTTAGCATGTGTGCCTATGCTTTGTATTATTATTATCATCACTACATAGTTTAAGTGTGCTTTTTTTGCAGTTAGACCCTATTCCAGACACAGGAAGCCCCACAAATTGTCACAAATTTGTATAATAAATGTGTTATTTCGTGAACTGTTATTTCATGAACTGTCCGTTTTTAGGTGCTGGCAGTTTGTCGACGGCGAAATAACTCCTAGGAAAAACCTGCTGAGGGGTTTTTCTACTGCTATTCGGTGTAGTCCTTATATAAATAGGTATCACACAGTTATTTTTGTTCTTTCTCCAGGTGCATTTCCAGCTCAAACAAGAAGTGGTGAGGAAGCCCCCGGAGCGTAAAGCCTCAGGCACACGCGTGAACAACAAAGCCCTTCAGAAGAAAGTTGTGCCAAGAGCCACCCGCCGGGGGACCCAAAGATGAGGACAGCTCACTTGGCAGAGAGCTGGGGGAAGCCGTTTACATGAGGTCTGGCTGATGACTCCAACAGTGAACTTTCCAACAGTCCAGCATGAAACTAGCCCACATTATTAGGTTATTAAACAAGGAAGTATTTAATCCCTGATCAAATTGTGAAGTCATTCACAACAAAATGGGCCTGGGCTACAGTTCCCTGGGAAGTGTGTCTGGTGTCGGTGTGTGCTGAGTTCTTCTCCTGCAGTCACTCCATCCCAGAGAGCTCTGTTCCCTTTACTCCTGGACTCAGTTGCTACAGCCCACTTGAGAAGCCCAGACACTAGTGCATACCAGGGATAATGAACCCAGGCCTTGGTGTATGCTGCACTCACCTGGGCACACGAATCCTGGCACTAGTCCTCTGGGTGTGAGTGCCACACTTCTCCCTCAGGTAAGGACACTTGCTGCCTGTAGACCCTGAAGTTAGGGGAAGGTCAGTTTTAAAGCAGGCAGTGATGTGAGCATCTCTGAAGACAGTTTGAACCATATGTAGCACACCTATTGCTGGTTGGCAACATTGGGAAGTGGTGGTCCAAGGTCATGTCCTGATCTTGATGTGTAGATGGGACTTTTTAGTACCTGGTTTGGACTATTGGTAGTCAGACAGGCTGAAATGATGCACTCTGGAAAAGCCGAAGATGATCCCATCTCCTTATGTCTTCAGGCCCAAAACAGATGGTTTGCTGGGGGGTCTGCTATAGCCAACACAAACTATTAGTCTGAGCACAGGAGCAAATATGTGAGGTTTTACAATTGATGATGAGTAGAAGTGCAAGCCAAGTTATTTGATGTTCCTTTGAGACAAATACCCTGAACCTTGGTCCTGTCAATGTGCAATGGGGAAGTGTGTATGCTTGATGCCAGCAGTGTGCTGTGCAGGTACCACATAAGCCACGTGAGTTGTAATTGGGTTAGGAGAGATGGGATCCATTGTTCAGTGAGGTGGGGTACTACAGGCTGAGTCTTAAAATGCTGCTTAGGCTGTGCAGGCAGGTTTGGAGTGGAAGCAAGAGTAGAAACAAAGCTGGTTATTTCCATGGTAAAAATATCTTAAGCAGGCAAAACCTTTCTAGCATTCTTCATTGAAAATAAATAACTCCAGAGGGATAAACAGCACGCCCCAGTGATTTCTTTTTCCTTGGCTGGTTATCCCTATCTCCCCCATACAGCCATTGGTTACACTGTTTGTCTCTCTGTCTCAAGCCTGTCCAAAAAGTGTCCCCCAAACATCCCTTTGCTCCTCCTCTTTTCCAAACGTCTCTTCATTTCTTGAGAGCAACCTGTATCACCCTTCTGCATAAGCAATATTCTGCATTTCATCCCTCACTGTCACCTCCTCCTCTGCCTGTGCTACAAGATGCTGGTGGCATTTTCAGCATTAGCAGCACACACACAGTTGTAGCTCTGCCTGCTAACAGAAGCTTTTTCTCTGTCATGCCAGTTCTTGTAAAGGCAGAGGAAGCTGTCCCTTGCAGAATAATTATACAGGCTACAAAGTGCCAGGAATGGTAATGCACTTAATTGTGGCTGAGTGATTTTGGTCTGTAGAGGCCAGAGTGGGCTGGAGACACTGCCCTGTTCAGCAGTCACAGCCAAAGCTGAATTCCAAGCCTTCAATTTTATCTTTTTTTTTTTGTCCTGTAGCAGAAGAAAATTAAAAAGAATGGCGAGGCTGAGATGCTCAAAATTCCATGTGGTTTAACACTTCTTCCACTGGCCAAGCCGAGCAGCATCACTGCAGATGCTGGACCCTCCTGCTTGAAGCCACACGTCAGTGCACGTTCACCCAAAAGATTTCGTGGTGGACATGCAGGCAGGACGAGGGAGGGCACCCCGTGTCCCACAGCCTGGCCCCATGCAGCACACAGGGGTCTGCTGTCACCTTGTGTCCAGCCCCTGCGTGGGAAGATATTGTTACCCCCAACTACGGCACTAGCTCTGCTGGCTGAGCTGACTGCTGACCTCTGGGGATCTGTATGAAGCTGAGAGGAACGAAAGGGCTCTCAGTTGGTTAATTCAGCTGAGTAGTCCCTGGACAGGGTGATGCTGAGCCCATACATAGCTGCCCGTGCCACCTGCATCCCAGCAGAGTCACAGGTTACCTTGCTGAGCCTGGCTGGCTGCAGGGTGCTCTCATATTGCCCTCTTGTGGTCCTAGAAAATGTGGGACCATCTCAATTCCACTTACTTTCCAGGGCAGAGTCAGGGGAGGGGGATTTCTTCTGTAGAACAGGACAACCAACCCAGGAGGCCTCATCACTCACCCTTGCAGGCTGCTGTGGGGTTGGCAGTGCAGCAGAAAAATTACAGTCTCAGTGGCAACCCTTTTTCCCTACAAGACGGTTCCTGCAAGATACAACCCTCTGGAGGACTCTCTCTCTAGGCTGGGATTCATCCAGCTCATTCTCCTCCCAGCTCTGAATATTTTTCTGTTGAACAATTTGGTAAAGGTCCACTTGGCGGTGGCCGAGTTCTCCACGTGAAAACATGGTTACAAAATATTTCTGAGGCAGGACTCTTTAAGCACGCCTCTCAAAGGCGTGCCATGAACTTCGCCCCCAATGTAGCAAGAAGTGTGGGCTGAAAAGGGCACTGAACCTTTGGACAACACCTGCAGCACAGTAGTTTCTTGTGCCTTTGAGGCTCCAGTCAAGGCAAAAGCGGTTTACAGGTTTGCGTCAGAAGACACAGCAAATAATCAATCCTCCCCATCTTCTCTGGGCCACTTATGATTTTATAGACCTCTTCTCCACCCTGTGTCCTTCTTCCAAGCTCAAGAGTCCCAGCCTACACTGTTTTTCACTGTACAGTTTGTTCCCATATCTCTGAACATCCTTACTGCCTGCCTCCAAACCTTCTTTCATTCTCTTTTACCCTTTCTGAGAGGAGATGGTGGAAAAACATTTAAACAAACTGAAGCCCAGCCCAGTAAAATGAATCAAAACTCTTTTAAGCAAAATTGTGAGGGTCTTGGGAGAAGCAGGAGGGCGGGTGCCTTCTGCTTTCTGTAGTTGGCATGGAGGAAGCAGAAAAAGGCAAAATACAAATAAATCAAAGAAGAGCAGGGCAATTTTGACGGGAATGTCAGCAAAGGAGAGCGGATCGTGGCAGTGACTTGAAAGGCTGCAGGAGGAACTGTGAAAATGAAAAAAGCTCAAAACTTTCCCTGGTAGGCAAGAACAGTAGAAATTTTGAGTTAGACGACATCTAGAGCCCTGCGGCAGGGGCTGGTGTCCATTATTCAGCACCAGTAAACTGTCTACAAGCATCCATACCTGCGAGGAAGAGAGCACCCAGTTCCCTGTGCAGCTTCAGGCCCCCTGCCAAAGTCACCGCACCACACCCGCAGTGTGGGTCCCCCCCAGGAGAGCAGACGTGGAGTCAGCGCCCAGCCTGGGCACGTACCAACACGACTCTGAGAGCGTTGGTGCACCGTGCTCCGCACACCCGCTCCTGCCTGGTGGCAAGTCAAGCTGGGATCTGTGTGGTTGCTATGGAGAAGTGTAACTAAATGCACAAACAAGTGCCAAACGGTGGTAACTACTCAGTGGGGCTGAGAGACTCTGGGCTTTACAGTGGGTTGCTGAGGGATGGTGTCCTTTGGGGCATGGAGGCTTTTTTTTGGCCTGCCAGGAGAACCAGTGCAGGACCTACTGTATTTAGTGTGCCCTACTCTGTTTCTGTGATACACAATCTGGCCCTCCCTGCCACGGATTTCTGCTGGGGACCTATTTTTCTCCATCTTGGTGCTCTGGCATGATCTTATAGTGTATCTAAGCAGCCAAGCTAGCTGCTAGCAGCAAAGCTGAGCCTGCACCAGATGGACAGTGTAGACCCGCTCGTCAGCTGCTGCCAAAGCTGAGGCCAACAAGGCAGTGAGAGATTCCCAGGGGATGGCAACAGCGGGGAAGGGGAGCCCCGGTGGTGTCTTCGAGGCGGCAGCGCTCTGTGGGGAAGTGGAAGAGGGTTTGCACAGGCAGCTGCCTGCCGTGCCCCGCGCCGGGCTCCCGGGTGCTGTGCCAGCAGCCTGGCACGGCGCACGGCGCACGGGTGCCGCGTCCAGCCTGGAGGATACGGGGGTGGCTGCACCCCGTGTCCCGGCCCCTGGCACCCACGCTGGGCACTGTGTCCCGCGCCGGGCTGTCCCCGTGGGGGAAACGCCTCGCAGCCTGGGGCCGGGCGGTGCTGCAGAAAGGACGATGTCCCCACGTCACCCGCGGGCCCCGGGCTGGCCAGGCTGCGGGCCAGCCCCGCGGAGCAGCCCCGCCTCCTGGAGGCACCACGCCGGGCCGGGCGGAGGCGGCCGGGCGGCGGGGCGGGCGCTGGGGGCCGGGCCGGCCGGGGCCCGGGCGGGGCTGGGCGGCCGCGGGGGGGCGGAGGCGGGAGCGGGACCCGCAGGGCCGGAGCGGCCGCGGCACCCGGAGCGGGCCGGGAGAAGGTAGGGACCCGCTGGAGCGGCCGGGGGTGGCCGGGCGCTCCCTGCCCGCTGCCGCCGCTCGGCCCGGCCGCTGCCCCGCCGGCCTCCCGCCCGGCTCCCCCCGCCCTGCGCGCCCCCGCGGCCGCCCGGCCTGTGTCTCCGCCGGGCCTCGGCGCGGCCCGGCCCCCGCCTCCCCCGCCGCACCGGCACCCGCTCGGCCGCCCGAGCCCGCGGCCCTGCCCGCCCCGGGGGGCTGCTGCGTGCGCGGGGCTGCCCCGGCCGCGCTGGCCGGCCCGGGGGGCGGGTGCCCCTGGCTGAGGTGCCGCTGGTTCGGGGGGTGCTGCGAGCTCGGGTGGGTGCGCTCTCCTCGCCCGGCAGCTGGGCTGGGCACCGTGTGGCTCTCCAGCCCTGGGTGCCCAGCTGTGTGCTCGCCGTGCCCCGCCGGCTCCATCCCGCAGCGCCCATGCTGCCCAGGGAGCACTTTGGGCACCTCGGCAGCACGGAGCAGCTGTGCGGCACAGCGGGAACCGCCCTTCTGCCCCGCATATTGCATCCCTTGGGATTGTGGGCATATTGCATCCCTTGGGATTGTGGTCTCTTAAGCCGTGTCTGTGCAGGCAGTGGTAACCTGGGTGGCCACCCCTCAGGCAGGTAGCTGGTTGTAGGGGAGCAGCTTGCCCTTTAGAAACAATGTGGGTGTCCCAGAGTGGTCTAGTGCAGGGAGCCTGGAGTGGTAGCACCGGTGAAGGGTGGCACAGGTGGTACAAGTGGTACACAGATAGCGGAAACTCCAGGCTGCAGCCTGTGCCTTTCCCACATCCTCTTCTAAGGCCATCCGCTCTGTTTGAGCCAGCCTGAGAAGAGAAACTTTAGAGAGTTCCCTGTTTGTTTTCATTCCAGCAAATGCAAGTCCCTCTTGCGTAGCTCTCAACCTGACAGTTGCCTTGTACTTTAACAGAGATGAACTGGAGGTGCCTCCTCCAGTGGCCTTGCTAGGGGATGGAGGCTTGGGTCACCCTCAGCACAGTCTGAGAGGCAGCTGCTGCTGCTTTTGCTGACCCTAATTGGTGCCTCAGCTGATCTTGTCCTTGATGCGATTTGGCCTCTGGGTTCAAACACCTCTGCTGCTGTTCCTGGTGTTTGAAGAACTCCCCCCACCTCTGTCTTTTCACCTCTCGTTCTCCTTGCCGTAGTACCTAGGAAGCCTTTAGTTGTGTCATAAGCATTAACATCTGTTTTGAGGTTTGTCATGATTCCATAACCTTCAGTTTCTTCTGAAAAGGCTGTCTTTGCCATTGCCTCTGCCATCCTTTCCTTTGCTTCCATCGTGATTCTATCTTCCTCTGTTTGAAAGAGTTCATAGATACAGAATTTGCAGTTTTGCAGATGCTTTGCCAAATACAGCCTCTGTGCCGTGCTGCAAGACGTCACCATCAGCCCCCTCATCTTGACTCACTCTGGCTGTGAGTCGTGCTGGGCAGTGTCTAAATGCGTCCTGCTTGTGCGAGAGGCCCTCCGTAGCGCCGGTAATGCCCACGTCTCTGAGCTGGCCGCTGCTGTTCTGTTCGTGAAATCCTCTGCTCTGCCAAGGCCAAAGGTTTCGGTTCTCTCTCCAGCTGCTTGCTTAGAATTAGCAGTGACATTAAAAACTAGTACAAGCGTACAAGAGTTTTTAAGAACTATTAAAATGGCAATAGGATGGGAGGAACTGAGCAGTAGGGCAGAGGAAAAAAGTGATGCTCAAAGCTTTGCAGGGCACCACCTCTGCTAGCTGTCATGGGAGGTGTGGCTGCGTGGCATCTCAGGGTTCGGAGTGCAGGTGAGGTGTCCCTGCAGTGGATGACTGTTCAGGCAGACTTTGTGACAGTGGTGATATGAGCTCGCGTGGGACAGCCTGAGTTGTGCTTACCTTAGCACTTCGCTACCTTAACTGGTAATTTCCCTTCATCCTCCAGCAAAAGTATATTTCTAATCGCATTCTAAGGGTTGCTCGACCCCACTCCTGAGTGACACAGCTTTTACTTTGTCTTATTTTTAGAACCTTTCTGTTAGGAAATAAAATTGCTTCCTTTGCAGGAGCACCTAGGAATTCTGAAAGGAAGAGGTCCAGGTATCAGGAGAGTCCCTTCTGGGGCTTTAGGTTCTTCGGAGATAACAGGCAGTGCAGAACAGGAGGGATGGAGGGTTAAGAGCACAGCTTCCAAGTTAAACTCGAATAATTTCCAGATTTCTGGACTCCTTGCCCAGCAATCAATGCATCATAATGGGCTTCTGTCCAAAAGTTATCTTGAAGAATATTGTTCAGGGTGCAAAGTCAAGTGCTGCAGTGTTAAGGAATGTCCTTGTACCCCAGTTCAACTTGTTTTAGATGTGCTCAAAGTGTAATGACTAATTTTGTAATTGTATACTACTTACCCCCAGGAGCCCAGCCATGGGTACTGCACAGCAGAAGTGGTGCTGCTCTTGAGGTTTTTTCTGTTCCTTTTTCTAAGTTGTATTGTTTTAGTCTGTCTACAAAAAATGGCAAGAGAGACAACCGTGTACCTTGGGGTGAGAGAAGACAGGACTCAGTAACAGGGTCTGTAAGGTGTGTGCAGCCACTCCGTACAGAATTTGGGGAAACCCTTGTCACCTAAGCTGGTGTTCTGGTCTTTGCGTGCTTAGGTCCCCAGTGCCACAGATTAAATATCCATCACAGTCGTCTTGCTCACATGTTGTGGCAAGGTGCTCTGCTTTGCATTAAAAATTGATGCTGTGTTCTAGTTTCCAGATGACTTTCATTTGCTTGCCTTCTGGTCCAGCACAAGCCCCTCTTTCTTCTTCCCCACACCACACTTATCCCCCACAAACACCACCAGCCTGCCTTCAGCCACGTCCTGAAATGGAGCCAGTGAGAACACTGTGACAGCCAGAGCCCAGCTGGAGAGAAGCAGCGGTTTCAGTGACTTGTGTGGTACGTGGCAGAGCTCCCATGGCAAATACCCCAAACCACCACATGTGTGGTGGGAGGCCAGAGCTTGCTTAAGCAGCCTTTGCCCTTGGTAGTCCTGGTTCTGTAATGCTTGGTGAACCCAAATGAATTCATTTCAATGATGTTTGGTATATCAGGTAACAGACAAAGCAAAAGAGGCTATTTGTTTTTGAAGTGAGGAGATTCCTCTTCCTCCTGGGAGCCATATGGGGTTAGGAGGTGGAGTGCAGAAGAGATCTCTTGTTTCCCACTGTGTGAAGCTCAGCAGGGGGACTCTTTGGGATCTGCTGAGACAAGCAGCATGTCCTAACAAGAAGCTGCAGCAATCAGCATTTCCCTGGTGGGAGAAGGCTCCTCTCCCCAACACCATTAGTTGGGGTTTTGTCCTGCTTGTTGTGTCGTCTGTTGTTGGGATTCATAGGGTCAGCTCTGCAGTTTGCCAGAGCTGCAGTCCCTGCATTGGCAACATCTCCAGCTGGGGCCCAGGCAGCTTGGCTCAACAGGATATTGTTTATTCCTCCCAGGAATATGCAAGACCTCGGGGAGCTTTACAGAGCAACATGTTCTGCTCTGAGCAGGGAGAGTCACTGTATGTGGCGACAGCTCTGAAGGCCAGCAAGAGCTGTCAGGGCATGCTGGTGTGCAGGTAATGTCCTACCCTAGAAGTAGGACTGTGCAGGCTGTGCAGATGCAGTGGGGTATGGAGAAGGGAAGGAGGGCTGTCCAGATTTGGAGAACATGAGGAGGAACAGAGGAAAAAGGTAGAAATGCCTCAGCATGTAGTTAGTAAGCTTCTGTTCTTGACACAATGGTGTGTGAAGCCAAGTGTAACTCCTGTTTCCCTCCCACTGTGTGCTGTGTATTGATCCTGAAGAGTGCAGTGAGAGCTGCAGCATATCTCTTGCCAAAGCCAGATCCAGCAGCCTGAGGGTGCACTGAACAGGGCTCAGGGGCGTCTCTGTCTCTGGGAGTGGATTGTGTTTCCAGTGAACAGACATTGAGCTATAATGAGTGGAAAGAGGCATGAAAAGATGCAGGGGGGTTTTCATTTTTAAAAAATATCACTGGCAGTATTTGTTTAATATTTTTAATATTAATTTCTCTAATAATTCTGTGACAAGCTTGTTTTTTGTACATTTCTGTGAGTCTGACCCATTCCTGGTCTACTGCTCATGCAGGATGTAAGATTTTTAAAGAGATTGAGACATCTGCAGAAGAATCCACTTGTCCCTCTTGTGCAAATCCAGTGTGCCTGTGGAAGCCCTCACGGCACATTTTGGTCTGTTGGTGAAACGTTAGTTTTTCAGTTATGGTGCTGTCATACTGACCATAGTCAGTGCTGCTTCTTCAGTGAGAAACTGAACTGTTTTACTGAGAGGGGAAACAAGTGGTAATAGCACCTGCTAAGTTTGGTTGCCTTGCTTCTAATTTGTGGCATCCATCCGTTACTGTTTTTTATCTCATGATCTGAGCAGCCCTTTGGGAATACCAGTGGATTAGCTGTCTTCAAACCCTTTGGGTCTCTCCTTTTTCTGGGGCTGTTAGTACTTTTTGTAATCAGCCTAAAATGCTCTCTTCACATTGCTGCCTTATCTCTTAAGTGGTTGAAATCCTTGCTTCAGCATCTAAGTGATCTGGTACTTTGACAAGTGCCTGACCATTATTTGTGATGCTGGTGAGTCTGTTGTTTGAGATTTCTTACCCTGCACAATCTCAGCTGCAAAAGAGAGGAGGGACACAAGAAGCTGTCAGTCTGTGTGCAAATGGCTTTTCTTGGCTGTGGTGACTTGATCCAATCTGTGCCTAAGGTCTCAAAACAGTATTGTAACAGAGTTAATAGCCGTCATTTCGTTCTAGCCCCTCCTTTCATCAGCCCATGCTGGACCAGACACGCTCCAGAGATAATGGCAAAATGGGATAGGCAGTCTTCCATGGAGGTAATGTTACTGTGTGCTGAGCATGCAGGCAGGCAGGCTGGTGGGGGTGATTAATGCTCTGGGAATCTGCTCTCTGCCTTGCTGCACAATGCTTTTGTGTCAGGCCCAGAGCTTAGCACCAGGCAGGCTGCAGTCGAGTGCCAGGAACACGTTACCTGGTTTGTGCAGGATCAGGCAGCAAGACAGAGCCCGTGTGTTCTCAGCAGGGTGAGTTTGCTGCTGCGCCACAACTTCATACTTTCACAGTGAGGCTCTCTTTGGATGCGGGTCTGCTGCTGGGTGGGGGCAGGAGTCCTGCGACTCGAAGTCCTGACCTCCTCCAGCGTGAAATCCCTGAGCTTGCTCAGTTGTGGCGGAGCCCTCCCTCCTTCCCTCTGGCAGGCAGGGATCACCCATCCTTAAGGTGAGAGGGGATGGTGCTTGGCCAGCTGTCAGGAACCGTGACTCACGGGGGATCACAGACGGAGCCCTGCTCTCCCTGCAATCTGCTCTTCCTTCTGGAGCCTCTTCGTGAGCTGTTGCTGAATGTTTGTTTTCACCACATCTAGGGTGGATCTGGGAGAAGCTCGGGCCCGCTATTTAGCCTGAAGAGTTGGACTCAGTAAGTTTCCAGTCTGGAATATGTTGGGAGGCTTCCTTCTCTAGGTGGGGGTTTGTAGAAAATTTGGCAGACAGCACTGCATGGAGTAAGACGAGGCCAAGGTCCCAGAAAACATAATATTTTGTGTTCAATTCTTGTCATGGAGCAAGCAAACCCCACAAGACTGATTCACTGCTTGTGAATACAGGGGCATACTGTCTAGACTTGGATGGAGTCAGGGAGTGATCCTGCTCTTCTTGGTACTGCTGAGGGTCCTGGTGGGATTCTTTTTTGGCAGTTTTAGAAGTTACTTCACACTTTCTTACAAGCTGCCTCTCAGGGAATGCTTTTGACATGAATACGTTAGTGTTTTATTATAACCGTAATTAATATATACATGGTGGAGCAATTGCAGTCCTGCCTGTCACTCTCAATCTTCTGTCTCGTTGGAAAATCTTGCACATTTTAATGATGAGTCCCCAGAGCTGCAGGTGTGTTAAGGAAGTGACACTCCTGTTCTCATGGGCAGGATCAGTGGGAGGGCCATATCCTCAGCCGCAGCGGCTGCAGCAAAGTCTGCAGCACACATACCGTAATCCTTGCATGCCTCAGCCCATTCTTATGTTACACCTTTGACAGAAGAAATGCAAGAAATCTTACTGTACCATCATGTGCTCCTGGAGAAACTACCCCGAGGCAGCAGTTATGCCTGTAGTGCCCTCTTTGTCCGGTGCTGCTGTGTAGTTTGAATATTCAGAGTATGGCAAGGATTCCTAGGACCCTGAGCTCAGTCGGCAGCCTGTCTGGGAGGTGGAGAGCAGCCCCAGGTGCCTGCAAGGGCCTGCTACAGCTGCGCCTGTTGCTGCTGCTCTCCTGTTTCCAGCATGCAGCAGCATGTCCCAGCCACCCCACCTCAAACAGCCCAAGGATCCTTACTTGTCCTTAGTATTTCCAAGCTAATTGATGGCTCTTCCATCTTTTTCCCTGCTCCACATGGTCATGTTTTTAATACTGTTACTCCTTCTGCCTCAGTAGGTTTCTGCTATCCTGAACTGCAGCTCTTTGTGCTCCTGATTCACTCCAGTCCATTCATCTCTTTTTGGTGGCAGAGTGCTGTCGGCTGCTGGATATTGGGCTCTTTGTTTGTACAGCCAGCACAAAGCTGGTGACAAAGGGACAGCCTGTGTCCCAAGGAGCCCACGTGCTTGTGGGGAAGGCAGTGGAGAGTAATAGGAGCAACGGATGGGATGGCAGAGGTGAGGGTGGCCAGGGGCCAGGGCACAGCATGCTGGCTGCAGCAGGGGCATGGCATGGGGGTGGGGAGAGACATGCTGAGGAAGCTGTTCCTGCTGAGTACAAACCCGCTTTGTTCCCAGGAGGTGAGTCGGACTGGATAAACAGAGTGGTCCCGTCAGCAGAAAGCCTTTCCCTGGCTGGATCCCCCACTGGCACTCTCACTGGAAGTTGGCTGCACCTCATCAGCAGAGATGTTTTCTCTTCTCTGTGTTAGCTTCCCCTCTTCCTGACTCTCCAGGGCTCAGGTGGGCTGTGTGTGGCTCTATGGAGAAACGGGGTCCCTGGGGACCCTGTGTGTTTTGTTGCGTTGTCACTGTGCTCTTTGTGCTGTTAGGTGGGCGGGGTTATTTGATAAGCGGTGCTGCCCAAGGGACGGGTATCACCGGCTGCGCAGTGCTTAGAGTGTGATCGTTCACTGTGCGCTTAGAGGCGCTTTGAGAAGGGAGGACATTGGGTCTCATTGTAGGGAATTTGGGTCCAAATGGACAGAGCAGGGACTCTGCTTGTGATGTGGGAGGAAAGCAGCCTGTGCCAAGGGAACTGATGGGGAAGATGCTGACATCCCAGTGTCACAGAGGGCAGGGCTCTGGAAGCACCTCGGAGAGGTGTTTGCTGCGCCATCCTGTGCCTGTAATTGCAGTGGGACAGGAAGTGAAGGCAAACACTCACTAGCCTGAGGTGTTGATGTTGAAGAATAATCTTAAAGTTCCTGGTTGCTTTGGATGGATGAATTTCTCAGTTCCCATTCCAAGGAATCCCATTCCAAGGAATCCCATTCCAAGGAATCCAAGGAATCCTCCAAGGAGGAGGTGAACGAGCAGCTTAAGCTGCAGGACTGCTGCTGCCCTGGTGCAATGTATTGCCTTGATGGTGAGGCTGAAAATCAGAAATGATACAGGAGCCTGGTTCAGCAGCCACTTCTGGAGGAAGAGGGAATTCAGGACATAGCCCTTGACTGAGGAGGTCTTTGCCTGCCCTCAGGTCTCCTGCCAAGGGAGTTTCAGCCTTGGCTTCCAGAGCCTTGGACAGGGTCTGTACCCTCATCTCAGCTTGGCTTCTGCCAAGAACCATGGTGATGCCTCCCAGGGGATGACTGAGCCTGGTACCTAGAAGGCAGAAGGGATATTTCCAGTCAGGTCTGAGGATGCTCAGGCAGGGTCAGCCCAGGTGGGGATGGGAAGAGTTCACCAGTGGGGAAGAGGATAGTGGCATGAGTGGCCTCAGTGGACTTTGTGCCTCTTCTCTTGCTGGGCCAGAAGTGTGACACTGCTTCAGCATGTGGTTCCTGTGGCCCTGACTGATGGCATGGGGAGGAGGATTCCTGTGCCCATCCTGCCAGAGCATGTGTGGTGGGACATGCAAGTGGATGGTGCTGTCTGCTCACCCGCCCCTGGCGGGCTCAGAGCCCTGCGCTGTATGTCAGGGAAATGCTGAGTTTCCTCCCCTCCTCTTGCTTCCTTCCTGATGGGAATTCACTTCCAAATTTCTTGCTGCTTCTCCCCCCCCTTGCAGCACAAATACGTGGCACTACAGAGATAGCCAAAGGGGCTGGGCAAGGCAGCTTAGACCACAGGGGCTGCATTGCTGGAGACCCTTGGATCCTGCAGCATATGGCGAGGGTTTTACTTTCTGAGCATATATGTGATAATTTCAGGTGTTTCTGGCTGCTAAAAAACTTCTCACTGTCTCAGCCTTAGGCACTGATCCACCTTCAGACCCTGTGCAATGGAGGCTGGCTCCGTGGTACGGGCAGTCTTTGATTTCTGTCCCAGTGTCTCTGAAGAGCTGCCCCTCTTCGTGGGAGATGTCATCGAGGTGTTGGCTGTGGTGGACGAGTTCTGGCTCCTTGGCAAGAAGGAAGGTGTCACAGGTAAGAGCTGGAAGTGTCTGCACCTGGATCCATACATGTGTCAGCTAAACATCCACTCCATGAGCACCCCTTCCCTTGGCCAGCACTGTGCAGAACCTGATTTGATTTACTAAATCTTTCATGGGACTTTGATTGGGACTGAGGGTGCAGGTTGCCTGCCAGCTTTGCCTCAACTATTCAGACAGCTTGTTTATTGTTTTTTGAGAGAGATTAGTGAAGGGTCAGTTCTTGAGAAGACGAGAGCTTCACAATACTGGTTGTTCCATTCTCTCTGGTGAGACAGCCCATTTCCTGGCTACTTTGTGTGCTGACCTGCCGTGGCAGTGGAAGGAGTGACGGGAAACAGATGCACTGAGACTGGAAATGGATCCGTATCCAAGTGACCTTGTCAGGTCAAGTCAGTTGGAGATGCAGCAATAGAGTCCATGTGTCCCCCCAAGTCCTCTGACTCAGCCCCACTTCCTCCTTTCCGCTTCAAAGCATTTTCCTGCACAAACTGCCATCAGTATGTGTGTGCCTGAAGTAGTGTGCAAGTCTCAAACTTTTGGAGGGGTGTGAGAAACTTCTGAAGCAGCAAAATTCTCATCGTGAAACAGAGTCTGTTTAGGCAGCATTTTATCATCTTAATACTGATGTTAAGAGGATGTGTGAGCTCTCAGGGAGAGGAAAACCAGGCCACTTCAAATCATAAGCCTGCCTCTGTCTTCAGCAGGAGGATGGGACTGGAGTTTCATCTCTGCCTGTAGAGATGGAGCTGCTATTGTAGCAGCAGTCTGAGCTCTCCTGACAAACTGTCTAAAACAAAAATGGACAGGAGCAAAGTTGGAGAGGACTTCTCTCCTGTGCTACATGTCGCTGATAAATGACATTGAACGAATGTGCCTGATCCTGCTGTTGCTGCCAAAGTCACTGGGCAAAAATTACATCTGCAGTTCTTACCACAGTTTTGTCTTCCAGTGGTGAGGTTGTCCTCAAGCAGATGAAGCTATTAAGGAATAGTAAACAGATGTGTTTCGTAGCTCAAAGATAAAAAAGAGTGCTGAAGTCAAACAGAATGGTTTTTAATGACCTTTAATTCAAAACCCACTTGCATTCCTGCTTTCTCTTGGAACAGCTGTTGTAGTTTTCTACCCAGCTTTCTAAGATGAAATTGTAGGGGATTGGAAAAGCACTTTTGAATAGAAGCTGTGAAGGTGCTTAATATTCATTACTCTGGAATAATTAGTGTGGAATAATTACTGTAACTCCATGACTTCCTTTCTAACAGCATTATGTTGTTTCCATAGAGCAGGAAACTAAGACATGGAAAAAGAGGTAGAACTGGTTAAAACTGTGAAGGAAGCAGCTGAGGCTGGTGGATGTCAAACTGCCTAAAGCCAGTGCTGAGCTCTGGATGTCTAAGATATGGTGTTTCCAGGTTTTATTAGAAAATACTGGATCGGTAAGAAGGAATGCTGGAAGTGCTACTAGCCCATACTCCATCACATTATATAGGAATGAGTGAATTTAGTGGCCTTTGCTGTGGGCTCTGCCATGTCCTGTTCTCCAGGACTGAAATTAGTAGCTGAGTGGTATCCTGTGATGGCCAACAAGTGTGCTCTGCCCTGCCTGGCTGGGGCCTGTTCAGAATAGCTGGGCATCCAGCAATGGGAGCCATGGTGAAACAGGTGCACAGAGTGACAATGTGGGGAAAGTCCCTGGAGTCTCAGCAGTGCTGAAGCTGTGACAGAGCCTGTGATTTGGCCATCCTCAGTGTGGTGGCTTGACTTCTGTGCCGAGGCTGCACAGGGGCCAAGCCTTATAGAGGCAGGAGCACCAGGTGGATATGCCCAGTCAGAAAACAGCATCCAGCACTATGGATCTCTTCGTTCTCATCTGGATCTGAGTTGGGAAGGAAGCAGTAAAAGCAGAGAAAACCTAGTATGTCTGTTCCCAGAAGCTCCATGCTGATGGCACAGTCCCGGTGATGAACACAGTGTGTTGGTTGCCTGGAGTGATCTGAGGGCAGAAAGCTTTTTGTTCTCTGTCAGTTCATAAGCATTTAAAACCTCAGGAATTCCTGACTCCCAAACTCATTTCTCTTCCACCATGCTATTGAGGCACCCAGGATAAATGAGTATTTTCCTTTAGCAGGAGATAAATAGATCCCAAAATCTGGAAGGAGGGTGGAGGTAGTGGTGGGCTACAGGAAAGACTCATTGCTGACAACTGCTTCTCCTTTTAGGGCAGTTTCCTAGCAGCTTTGTTGAACCTGTGGATATTCCTCCTTTGAAGCAGGGAGAAAAACTGCTTGTTTGTACCAATGACTTCACATCTCAAGAGCCAGGGAGCTTATCATTGCAGAGAGGTAATCTCCATTCCCTTCTTTTGATTTGCAGCTCGTAAGCCTCATCTGTCCTTCCAGACAGATGAACCTAGTCACAGCATCCTGCCTAGAGTGACAGAAGAGAGAGGTGAACTTCCTAGTACCTCATGACATGGGTCTTGTCAAATCCCCCACGAACTTCTGGGCCTCTGCCACTCTGATACCAGTTTCTCATGATCTGTCGTTACTCGTGAAACTCCAGAAGTTGGAGTCGCCTATCATAGTAAATTTACAGCTGCCTTTTAACTGACCTCCAATACCCAAATCTTAGACTTGCATTTGGGGGAGAAATCAAAGCTTTAACGCACCTTCGTGTCTTTGCAGCCAAAACTCTGTATCTTACATGTGTGTGCAAGAGGCTGCTGATACTTCATGCCTTACCCCATCCTGTTCTCATGTGCATCCCCAGCATGCGCTGTGCTCTCGCAGAGCGCCAGACCTCACCCACAGCCAGGAGGGTCACAGGAAGGCAAGAATAAGAGGTAGGAAGCAATAACGAGAGCAGTTTTGAACTGGTGTTTGTCATTCTCTGCAGGAGACCTGGTGATCCTGGGGGGGTCCCTGGCCTCCAGCTGGCTCCAGGGCCGGAGCAGCTGGGGTTCCAAGGGCTTTTTCCCCTCATCATGTGTGCGGGAGCTGTGCCTTTCAGTTCGGAGACGTCAGCTGTCCCAGAGCACTCTCCTGGAGGTGCCTGCCTACTCACTGGGCCAAGCCCGGGCCCTGATGGACCTGTCTGCTCAGCTAGAGGAGGAACTGGACTTCAGGGAAGGGGATGTAATCAACATTGTTGGTGTCCCAGAGCCTGGCTGGTTTGAAGGTGAGCTCAGAGGCTGCAGAGGCATTTTTCCAGAGGGTTTTGTGGAACTGCTTACTCCTCTGCGAGCACCAGGAACCTCAGTGGATCCAGAGCCCACTGGGACTTGTGACACCAATGGGACAGTGGAGATGCCTCCCAAGGAGGACGAGGAGCCAGGGAACACTTACGGTGTTGCCCTCTATGAGTTCCAAGCCATGGAGTCCAAGGAACTGGATTTTGATGTGGGTGACAGGATTCGGATTGTTGGCGTTCTGGAGGATGGCTGGCTGGAGGGGGAGCTGAGAGGAAAACGTGGCATCTTTCCACACAGATTTGTGAGGCTGGAAGCCTCTGAGGCTTGCAGGGTAAAGGTGTGTGCTGGGGATCTGCAAGGTGGAGACAGCTGTGGATTGTCCATCCATCAAGACCCAGAAAACACCGGCTCTGAAGCTCTTCCTTTGCTAGGGAAAGATGGCAGGGAAAAGGAAGAGGACTTGGCTGCACACCCTGAGCCTGCCACCATTTTGTCTCACAAGGTGGGGAGGTCAGAGGGTCCTCTTGCAACTGACTTGAGACAGCATCAGGCCTTTCCCAGCACAGGACACCAAGGGCTACATCCCAAAGGCCCAGTGGACTCCCTCCCCTCTGCCTGCATGAAGACCGTCAATGGCCTTCCCCTCTCTGCTCAGCTGCCTCCTCCACAGGGCAACAGGCCTGGCCAAGCAGGTGAGTTGGAGCCCGGGGGGACCATTTCAGCCTCCCCAGGAAAACCAGAATGTCACGCTCTGCCCGAGCACGATGGAGACAGTCCCACTGTGCCCTTGCAGGCCTCCCACGTCCCCCAAGATCCTTACAGGAGCCAGGCAATTTCATCTTCTAACAGCTGGGCAGCATCCCAGCCCCAGGAGATCCAGAGCAGCACCCAGGATCTAGACAATTGGATGGACAGTCAACAGGAGAAGTCCAAGCCCTGTTCCTCCAGCTCAGGAGCTGCCCAGGTGGGCCTGGACACATGGGCTGGGAGCTGGGGGGAGTGCTGCCCACTTGCAGTGCAGGGGGACAGCTGCACAGACCTTGACTCCAAACTGACGGAGCAGCTGGCACAGTTTGAGAAGAGTCTGTCAAGTACCAGTGCTGAGCAGAACAAAGTCTCCCGTCATTTCTCTATCTTGGACTACAGCTCTGAGAAGGACATTGTCCGTGGGTCTCCTGTGTCTGTCCCCCACTCCAGGCAGACAGAGAGGAGGAGGGCCCTGAGGCCACCCCCTCCTCGGCCCAGCCTTGCGACAACCCCTGTGCACACGCTGGGTGGCCAAACATCCAAAGGCAGGTCTCTGTCCTTCTCGGTCAAGCCCTCCCGGCCTGCACCCCGGCCTCCATCAGGCAACCAGCAGAAAAATGTGGCCCCTGCACAGCTTCAGCCCAGCACCCCAGAGCAGCGGGTGGAGGAAGGACGTGAGGACTTGACTCAGGCAGGATCAGCTTCCCCCTGCTCCATTCTGCTGACTAGGATTGGAGAGGTAGAGCGAGACTTGGAAGCTTATGGCAAGACCCGTGCTGAGCTAAGCCTGATGCTGGAGGAGCAGCAGGATGAGCTGGTGAGAGCAGAGACCATGGAAAACCTTGAATTCTGTGACTCCAACATTGAGAGCCTCAGCATGGAGCTGCAGGAGCTGAGAGGTGAGTCTACAGCAGCATGGGATGGGGGTTCTTCAGGGGGACAACTGGCCCTGCTGTTTAGAGACACTATTGAAACCAGTCTTTTATACCCTTCTTTAATTCCTGGTAATTTTGTAAGCAGTCAAATCATCATGATTTTGCTTTGGAGAATCAGTGTCTTTCTCTGAACATCCCTTTGCCCTGGTCTTCCCCACCCACTTTTCCTTTCAACTCTCCCATCTCCTCTTCTGGCCCCACCATCCGTCCAGAGCCTTCATCTGATCCGTTCCCAGTATATCCTTGCTATTAAGCAAAAGCAGAGCTGCTGCAGTTTCAACCTCCCTGCCTCATCCCCTCTTAGCTGTAGGGGAGTGAGCAGCAGCTTCAGAGTGGCTTTGCTAGTGGTCCTGCAGTTGGAGATTTGAGTTGATGTCTGTGGTGTGACTGCCATCAGCCTGTCAGGGCACTGAGTTTTCTGTGGTTTCTGTTCTGGTGGTGGTACAGACCTGTGGGGCCTTGTCACTCAGATCAGAGTGGATGCACAGAAGGGGACTGAACCTGGCCTGGGAGTGTGATGGATTAGTGGGCAAAAAGTAAAGCCTGACCCTGTGCTTCTGCCATCCATGCAGTCCTAGATAGGAAAATGACACTGTGCTGTTGGTAACAGCAACAAAGAGCTTTAAATTGTGGCAAATCTTTAGCTGGAAAGATAACTTTTGTCCATGAAGCCCCAAAAAATTAGTCAGGGAAGAGAAATTTGCGATGATTATATCAGCACGTTTGGCCTCTGAAACCCAAAGATGCCATGTAAAGATCAGTGCTGTTAATTATGTTACACTTGGTATTACAGTAGACAAAGTATAAAGATGAGACCACATACGTTTTATCCCACAGTCCCTTCCCCAGCTTCTCCCAGGAGCTCTGACACCACAGTTCTGTTACTGAAACCCACGATGTGCAGGAAATGTGGGCACTGCATTCAGGAGGTGGAGTGAAATGCCAGCTCCTGCCTGGGGATTACTCACTCTGACTTCATTGCCTCCATCCGCCCACTGCTTTATCAGTGCTGGGAAGCCCAGGCACTTTGTTGCACGATCGTGTCTGATGCAGAGCACATGGGCATGAAGGCAGATTCAGGTGCACCAGGAAAATAGGATGACAAACGGCCTCCACATTAGCGGTGTGCAAGAGGGACGCTTGGAAGGAGGCTTAGAGGATATGAGACAAGACGAAATAACTTGAAGATAGGAAGAGAAAACTCTAGGCTGAATCTCAAGGGAATTTTTCTAATGGGATGGATCTTCCTGGGAAACTTCTCTTACCGTCCTAGTGCTTCCTGGCAGAGGACAGATCCTGTAAAACCTGTGCCCTGTTGGTTCCTAAAACTGGAAGTTTTAAGCAAGAACTAATGCACTATCCTGAGACATGCTCAAGTTAGTATCCCCTCAGTAGTCCTAGAGGATTTTTCACCAGTTCAAAGAGACCTGAGGATTTGTAAGTAACCTCTCTGGTCCTGTGATAAAGATGTTTTCTACCTAAGCTTTGTCACATCCTTCCTGCCACATCTGAGTGTAGCCAGAGAGCATGTCTCAGGCTTCCTAGCCCAGCTCTAGTGCAGCAGGCCAGATCAGTAACAGGGGTTTGCATCAGCTCAGCAAAATGAGTTTGTGCCATGCCTGAGGCGTGACCTCTGCCTTGCCGTTGTTAGGGGAACATGGAGGCACACTGGTGGGAGAAAAGCTTTCACTAAGCTTTGACCAGCAACCAAAGCAGGGCTGATGTAGTCTTGGGGGAATCCAGCCTATCCTTTGGGATATAGAACCAAACCACATATAGAAAGTATGTGGTTTTCTACAACACATGTTTAAAATTGTCACATTGCTTCTTTGGTGTGTCTTTGTGCACACTGGGGGTTCGCCTGGCTTGGGCGGGATTAGCGCTTGCCCTCCTGCAGTTGGAGTAGGAGAGTCCATAGGTTTTATTGTTGTCTTCTACCAGCACAGAGCATGGGCTGTGCATTCCTAACAAGTGTTGAAAAAACCTGAGACACGGATGACATCCATGGACTCCTATGCTTTCTGTCTAGGGCATGTAGGGCATTGTTGGTTTCTTATAGGAGCTCTGCATTTGGCATGGAAAACTGGGAATATGCTGTGCCCTGCAGTGAGAGGTGTTACTAGACTGCGTGTTTCTGTAGCCTCCTGAAAATTTATATTTTGTGTTGGCACTGAACTCCATAAGCCAGGTAATCCCTTCAAGGCTGTTCCTGTCAGCAGGTAGAGCAGCTGTTCACCCTGGAGCAGGGAACCGGGCAGCTGTGGCTGCACGGCACTGTGTAGGCACTACTGGGGGGGCTCTGTCTTGCAGGGAGCAGCTCCTCTCCTGATCTTCCAGTGACTGTGGGTGAGGACTGGGAAAAGGATGGGTTCAGCATCAGGTTTGAGCCAGGGGCAGCCTGAAGGCCTCAGTTTGCCCCTGTGAGGTGTGGAGCAGAGCCCAGCCTCTTCTAGACCGCGTTGTTTAGCCTCCACACCATTAGGAATGTGAAGGCAGTGGAAGGAGACCTGGTATCCCATCTCTGGTTTGTGGCTTCCTTCAGTCTCACACACGGTCTGTTTCCCTTCCCTGAGGACATTGGTCTGGGGCAGGGCCTCTGCCTGCTCCAGTGCCCTCCTCTTCCTTGCCTCTGAGCTGCCTGAGGAGAGGCTTTGGCAAAGCCGCGGAGCCGGTTTGGGCAGCGAGAGCCTGCCCAGCCTCAGCTTCCCTCCTCGGGGCTGGTTACTGATTACTTTGGGCAGCAGGTGGAGGAGGCCAGGGCTGGCAGTGATTGGGCCTGCGCCTCCTCCTACCCTTGCTGACTGGTTTCAGGAAGCAGCACCTGCATTTCACTTGGGACAGGAGCACTGGAGCAGAGCGGAGAAACAGCGTCAGCCCGGGCTTGGGCTCAGGGAGCAGACAGTGAGGGGAGTTAGCCCCTGCTCCATACCCCGCAGGACTATGTGCTCTTATCCTGGGTCGAAACGCTGCATGGAAGATCCAAGACAGGAACGGCGACTCCTCAGCTGGGAATATGAGGACTCTTGTGCCATACGGAGAGAGGACGTAGCTGGGGTGGCTGCGCTGCGCAGGGAGGCTGGCTGCAATGACAGACCCAGGGCGACAAGGAGGCAGTACCCAGGCAGCCAGGGAGCAGACGGTGGCTGGGACAGTTACAGGAGAGGAGAGGGCTTCTCTGTGGACCAACGGAGCATGAATGTAGACTGTGGAGGTTTTTGGAAGGGAGATGTGCAGTACATGGGCTGCAGGAGAGCAGATGGTGCTTGGGAAGGCAAAAGCCAGGATACAGAGGGTAGAAACTACAGGGCGTATGAGAAGGAGGACATTCAATACAGAAACTGCAGTTCTGAGATAAGAGAAGGGCGGAGCAGAGAGGACAGAGTACCTGGGCAGTACAGGGAGGGGGGAAGGCAGTATGGAGGCGATAGAGGCCCTGAAGGCCATGGGGAGAGGGGAAGGTGGTATCAGGACTACAGTGAGGATGAAAGACATTATAGGAAGAAGGAAAGGGGGTATAGGCAAGAGAGGGACTCTGGGGAGTATAGGGAGAGAAGGCGGCAGTATAGAGAGGACAGAGGCAATCAAGTATATAGGGAAGGGGAAAGGTGGTATAGAGAGGATGGAGGCTCTGGGGCATATAGAGATCAGGAAAGGCAGTGTGTAGGTATCGGAGACCAGGTAGACCAAGAAGACATTGAACGGCACAGGCAGCCCAAAGGCCATGTCATAGACCACAGCAGTCTGGACGGAGGTTGGGAAGTTCCTGCTTTGGCAGGCAGGTCCTTAGACAGTAGTGTGAGCCTGGGGTCAGGTACCTGCTACACACAGTTCGAGATGTGGGACATTGACTCCAATGGCTGTGGGGAGCTGGAAGGAGCAGCCCCAGGGCCTGGGATGCCGGCCAAGAGCAGCAGTGGAGCAGAGCGCTCGAGGGTACGCACGGGCCGGCCGGACTGGAGCCAGGTCTGGGAGCAGGAGGCCGAGGACACGAACAGGGTGGGCTCTGTGCTGCAGCGAAACAGCTTCTACAGACGGACGGCTCCCAGTGCCCTGCGGCACTCAGAGTTTGTGCAGACCAGGAAGAAAAAGCAAGGTACACGGGGAAATAGTGGGCAATTGCCTTGGGTGTGCCTGTGCTCTGCCCTGGCACTGGGGCAGCACCAGGACTCTGACACAGGTGGGAGTGGCCAGCACTGACGGGCTCTCGTGGGAAGGCTTCTCCCTGGGACTTGCTGAAACGAGCATCATGGTCGTTACCCCTCTGCACAATTGCTGATCTGCCCTGCAAGGGGATTTCACAGAGGCCCAGGTGGGAGGGAAGCACAGGCAATATAGACTTGCTGCTGTCCTTTCTCCTCCATCTGTGCTCCCAGTGTTTTAGGTACACCCTAAAACTTGTGGCCCTGTTCTTTTGTCTAGTCTTTCAGGGTCCTGAGGAGGTTCCTCATGTGGGAAAGGGTGGGGTGCTGGGGTTATTCCCGCTGCCTGTTTTACTTTTATAACCCATCGTGAACAGATTTGATGTTTAGGAACCAATTCCCGGCTCAGAGCATGAGTATGGCAGCTGATCACAGGCAGCACGAAGCAGGAAGTAGAGGAAGTTGGTATAGCACTCAGACATAAGTGGAGAGCAAGTACTTGTAGTTGTGTAATGCACATGGGCAGGACATTGAGGTACCTGCATGTTGGGGGGCTGTCACATTTGGGAATCCCCTGCATCGCCAGCCCCTCGCTACTGCAGTGTTCCCTTGCCTGTGCTACAGCAGTTCCATGTCCTGGGTCCCCAAGCAGGTCTCCAGTCCCATCAAGCAGCACTTTGGAGCTGGAGAAATACCAAAGTGAAAGGCCTGAGCTGTCTTGGCATGGGCAAAATCATTCCATTGATGCTGTGGCTGGGACAGAGTCAGCTGCAGACAGCTTTGTGCAGCTTGGCTTGTTCTTGCAAGAATATTAGTGTGTGTTGG